TGGAATTGGAAAAGGTACAGAGATGGGCAACTAAAATGATTAGGGGTATGAAACAGGAGGAAAGATTAAAATGACTGGGAATTTTCAGCTTAGAAAAGAGACGACTAAGGGGGGATATGATAGAAGTCTATAAAGTCTTGACTGGTGTGAAGAAAGTGAATAAGGAAATGTTATTAAATCCTTCACATAACACAAGAACTAGCAGTCATCCAATGAAATTAATAGGCAGCAGGTTTTAAAAAAGCAAAAGAAAGTACTTCTTCACACAACATAAAGTCAACCAGTGGAACCCTTTGCCAGGGGATGCTGTGAAGACCAAAACTATAACAGGATTAAAAAAAGAACTAGATAAATTCCTGGAGAATAGGTCCATCAGTGGCTATTAGCCAGGATGGGGAGGGATGCAACACCATGCTCTGAGTGTCCTTAGCCTGTTTGCCAGAAGCTGGGAATGGGCAACAGGGGATGGATCACTTGATGATTCCCTGTTCTGTTCATTCCCTCTGAAGCACCTGGCCTTGACCACTGTCGGAAGACAGAATACTGGGCTATATAGACCACTGGTCTGACCCAGTATGACCATTCTTATGTAAAAATTAATTATAATACTAAAAATGTTTAGTACAGAAACTCCCCAACATAATGACCTCTCAAGATAGCAACGATGTGAGATGACAACCTTGGCAAATAATGCATTTTAAAAATCTTGGCCTACTAGGAAATATATTTATATAAGTTTCCATTCCCAGTCACAAATCTAGCATTCTGGAGCAAAGTCACTAAAATATAGTTCAACAAACAAATGTTTATTTAATGTGCCCCTTACTTTTCCCTCCACCGCACCCCACTCACCGGTGTTGTCCTTGGTCAGTGGAGACTCAGAGTTCAGAGGTGCTTTCACGTGAGTACACCTCCCAGGTGGGAGGCAAGAAGGCACCTTGCTCGTTCCTCCAGCTGCTCACTGTTCGCTCTGGCCACTGCTGTTTGTTGTGCCACCATTCACTCCACTCTGTTGCCAGTGGCCCTGCGCAGTCACCTTCTGCTGCCACCTACCACTGTGACCTCTGCGAGTTGGACTCTTGGGGTTCCACCAAGCTCTCAGTGATTTCAGCTGAGCTCTCAGTGAGGGAACCTCACTGCTAGTGCAGTCTGGGCTGTCTCTTCCACAGAAACACTGTCCCCACACATAGATCTGATTACACTGGTCTACAATTTTTGAGAAGTGGTCTGCTTCAGAGATAAAATGTGCTATTTATT